TAGAGCACTGAACACTCATCATTTCATAACTCTTCACAGTTGTCACTCTCTTTATCTGAGCTTAGATGCCGAAAAAAGTTTTTGCCACCAACAGCCACAAGAACCACTTGACGTACAAACGTGTTACAAGAAGGTTTTGGTCTTGAACGTGTCGTGTGCGTGTTACCTTTAACATCTTCTCGTCAAACAGTGCAGTCATAGGATAAGGCATGATGTAGCTCTGCAGGGATTTGGGTGACATAACTATAGTTCCCTCTGTGAGCTGTTTAGCAAACTTTCTTAAGGCTCGAGCTCTCCTGTGGATCTAAGAAAATACAAACAGAAGACAGACAAATCCTTCTGTTAAAGACATTAATAAAAGGAAGCATTGGTTTTTGGAGTAGATGCAGCTCTTTCTGAAGTCTTTCTGCTGCAGGTAAGTGCTGTACAGATGTGCTTTGTGGTTACCTGGATGTGCTTCATGTGCTCAAAGAAGTCAGACTCCGGGTCATTGTAATCGGTCAGCTGGACCAAGTCCTTTAACTCCGGGTTCGAGGGGAATGTCTGGATCAGGCTAGAGAGCACTGTTGTGTATGCTTGCTGAACACTCTGTGGAAACCGCAAAACATAAAACTCAGGTTAAGAAAAAGCAAAGACAACCATTAATGGCTCGTTTCCATTCACTCCAATTTCTTTTTTTTGTATGCACTTTTGTAAACTCAAGGCTTCGATCATATGAACTCATGACTTTGCCTATCAAAAATGTTGTAAACCTGGGGACAATGACCATTTACTCAGAAAGCAGCCCATCAAATGACATATTCTTACCATCATACCTCAGCGACAGATGAGTGTTTGCAGAAACCAGATGAATTAGGATTTTAACTACACTTTTTAACAATTTAAAATGGGCTGGACCCATTTCAAATGCAAATTAGCACGCATCCGTCTCTACATTCATTTATGTGAAAAAGCATTTTGATAGATATACCAAACTCTGTGTTAAGTATTTCTATGTACAAACTTATTGTTTCTTGGGAAATGCATACTTAGTTATTTTAACAAACATAGTTTCACACCTCTTTACTCAAGTCATACTTCCTTTAATCATGACCAACATCTTCAGGTTCATTACCTATAACATGCATTAATATAAAAAGTGCTAGTTTTAAACCACTTTTTAAGAGGAAAAATCTGTTACCATCTCAATAATACATTGGTTACAAGATCTGCAGGGTCTTGTGTGACATTTTGTGAACCACTATTCCCAACATAACAATAATGTTACTGA